AAATGGCGATTTTCGTGAGGTGCCTTCTCCAAAATCCTCCCTTTTCTCTCTTATTGTGGCGCTTTTGAGGAGCGTTCATGCTTGAGTGGCCCGCCGCTGAAGCTCATTATCATGTGTAAGGCTTGATTTCCACTGTCGGGTAATTTTTACGTGCGTACGTGCGTAAAATTTATGTTCTCAAATAAAATAGAGGCAACATATGAAAGGTCGTCAGGCGTAAACGTAAAAGTAGAACCTCGCTCAACTTCACGTTTAATCTCAACACTTTATATCTTGCCTCTATTTTACGATTCACGTGATTAAAATTTAAGTGCGTTAACCTGCATAGCCATAAACGCGTCAGTGGAAATCAATCTCGAATGTCCGGACGTTCTGCGCGATGTAACACTTTCGAGTCGACTTAAGTTCCCCTAAGGCATCCGAGAAAATTAATAGTTTTTAAGGCATCAAGTTAACCAAACAGGCTTCTAAAGCATGCACAGAGAAAACTATTCTATTAGCACTTCCGACATATTTGGAAACATTCGGTCTTTGGGCGTCCCTGTTTTTTTCGTTTCCCATTTGAACCCTATAAATCCTTACGTCATGCAATATTGCTGCATGTATAAAGGTTTTTAACAACCGCTCTCAAGTAATGAATTTGTTTTTGGGAAGCTTGTGACTAAATCTTAAAACTGGAATGACCTACCTTCAAGGCATTTAGTGAAAATTAAAATCACTATATCAATGAGCTGATCAGCCCACAGGAACTTGAAAATTTCACAGCTACGAGGTCCTGATCAAATACAAACATTGTATCACATCGATTGTTCATATCATTGGCCATGGTGCACCATTGATCTAAGTATATATAGCAGCATGTTCATGGGAACCCGGTTAATACGACACCAGCTCGGGACATGCCAAAGTGTCCGTATTAAGGCAAGCTCTAAGGAATACATGGATACATGTTTTATCGATATAAAGACTAAAGCAGGCAAAGACGACGCAGTCTTCAGTTTTTGTACTGAACTGAACTGCAAAACAGCAGTGAAAATACGTAGGAGTTGGATGTAAACGCGCTCACTTTACAAAATTGGTGAAAGAAGTGTTGCTCCACTGTCTCGGGTTGATATTTTCATACTGAATAAACTTGTTGTTGGTTTCAGGTGCACAAATGGATAATGGGTTTCATATAGGGAATCGGTAACCGGTAACCAACTTCCAATTAGTTACACCATCCCTAACTCGAATCCTCAAATCGAAATCCTAACTCACAATCGTCTCAGAGAATTAAAACGTCCGTTCAAACAACAGGTTTTCCATGAATTCAATGTTCAAGGCACATCATTTTCTCCTTGGAAATCGCTTTTGTTTCATGTAGTATTTATTCACCTAGCCTCTTTCCCTTTTTTCAAAAGCGAAAACACTGAATTTTTTGATAGGTCCAAAAGATATTGCGAAAAAAATTGCGTCGAGTATATTTATATAGTCAACACAAAATATGAAGGTCATGGAGCCACAACCTGGCTAAAACTTGGTTAGTTTGTTGCTTATATCAAGTGCCAAAAATATGACTGTTTCGCATGAGACATCAACAATTTTTTTACGAAGCCTGTCGCATGTTCTAACCATTACCGATTTCCTAGTTTTTTCACCCGCCGAAAAAATAGCGGGTGAAACAAGAGCCTGTTTCCCGCAGGCTACTTCTTTCCGGGCTTGTGCTTCAACTCGGTTTATAGAAAGATGGTTTACTTGAAGGTAACTTTTGAAAAGGAAATATCAGTTATTTATTTTAGATTCACTCATCTATCCTGGTTATCGTAATAAGCAAAGTTAAGNCGGTAACCAACTTCCAATTAGTTACACCATCCCTAACTCGAATCCTCAAATCGAAATCCTAACTCACAATCGTCTCAGAGAATTAAAACGTCCGTTCAAACAACAGGTTTTCCATGAATTCAATGTTCAAGGCACATCATTTTCTCCTTGGAAATCGCTTTTGTTTCATGTAGTATTTATTCACCTAGCCTCTTTCCCTTTTTTCAAAAGCGAAAACACTGAATTTTTTGATAGGTCCAAAAGATATTGCGAAAAAAATTGCGTCGAGTATATTTATATAGTCAACACAAAATATGAAGGTCATGGAGCCACAACCTGGCTAAAACTTGGTTAGTTTGTTGCTTATATCAAGTGCCAAAAATATGACTGTTTCGCATGAGACATCAACAATTTTTTTACGAAGCCTGTCGCATGTTCTAACCATTACCGATTTCCTAGTTTTTTCACCCGCCGAAAAAATAGCGGGTGAAACAAGAGCCTGTTTCCCGCAGGCTACTTCTTTCCGGGCTTGTGCTTCAACTCGGTTTATAGAAAGATGGTTTACTTGAAGGTAACTTTTGAAAAGGAAATATCAGTTATTTATTTTAGATTCACTCATCTATCCTGGTTATCGTAATAAGCAAAGTTAAGAAATAGATTTGTCTCTCTTTTTTCAAACTTGTTACAAGGTAAAGCTCGCCAACCTGGCTGCTTTACACGTCGACATAATGTGACTTCGCAGCTTGAAACCCCGCTAAAGAGGACTTAAAATAGATGCCTTTGTCTATATTCAAAGGATTATTTTGCTGCTTCTTCGATTCATGAGCTGTTCATCATTTCAATAGCGGCTGACTGAGTTGCTTTCTATGATGATGCCTAGGATTCAATGTCAGTCTTCGGTGGCATTAAGCCTTCGTTGCCCATTTAGCAGACCGAGAGCAGATTAATGCAACTACTTTCAGCTGATTGTTACGGTTCTAGGTCAGCGAATATTCAGAAATATTTTACTTACAATTATTACCTACCTGTAAGATATTAGATGGAAATTAAAATCACAATTTCAATGAGCTTATCCCGCGGTTTCTAAATTGTCCTTGTTGTCAGGGGATAGATAAAAAGTACGCACTTCCACACTGGACAAACCAGAGCGCGTTCCCTTCGTTATCACCTACAACCTAGCCTCCCACGCAGACGTTCTAAGGGGTTCGTCACGCGTTCCTGCCCCACAAACGTCTGCTGCATCGAGTGCCATTGTTCTCAAATATCAGCTGGAGCTCAATTGCAGATTATCGGAGAACCAATCGCTGTTGAAGTCAAAGTGTTGACAAGCCAAACACATAAGTAAAAGCTCGGTAGAGGGTGATACGTACAGCAAAGAGTTTAGCTCCGGACAAAAATATTTAGATGATCAGTGTAATGCTTTAATGCAGTTAATGTGTACTTGAAGTGTCAACTGCGAATGAGTACATTATGTCCTACTCGAGTATGTATCTAGAGTATATGCTAATAAAAACTTAGCCCATGGGCATACAAACAATGCTATTATACAATACATGCTGATTAGGTTTAGAAGAAAAAATGCTCTGCTGCACAATACTGCACGGGAACAGGGGTCTTTTTTGCATGAGCATGCGCGACCGCTGAACATGCGATGTGCATGGAGGCTCACCACAGGGTTTGCCTTCATCAAAATGGCGCGTCTCAAAGCTATCATAGCGATTATTTAGCTCGTTGTCGCCAAGCCGATGATAACTATCAGCGGTGCTGGCGTGTTCTTCTCCGAAGAGTTTAAGACGGATCTCAAGTGCGTGCTGTAGAGAATCTAGTGCTGCTTTGAAGTCTCCAAGTGAATGGTGAGTGACGCCAAGCCCATGATAACTATCAGCGTTGCTTGCGTGTTCTTCTCCCTCAAGAGGGATTGACAAGCCCAGTGCTTCCTGTTGGGCTTTAAAGGCTTCAGAATATTTATTTTTCCCGGAGAGAAAGTTTCCAAGATCCATGTAACACGCTGCAAGAGCTTCACTGTGCAAGTAGTAAGCGGAGGAGTTTTCGTTGCATTGACAGAGAGCTGTTTGATGGTAACTGATTCTTGTTTCAAGGAGAATTTTAGTGTCTCCACTTGACTTAAATAAGGTTATAACATTTCGATGAAAACGAAAGAGACCGCTTGAAACGTGCTGCTTTATTTCGATCTCTTTCAGCATTTTATGAGAAATATTTCGAAGATGTTGCTTAGTATCAATATCCACGAAGTTCTTCGTTGCCTTGCTTACAAGGTCAAGTACTTGCCATCTTAGAGGATGGTTAGAAAGAATGCTAGAGTCTGTCTGGTTTTCTTCTACTTCAGTTTTTCTCTCTTTGCTTTTCCCTGACGATATCAAAAGTAGATCCATGTCTCCTACTGCCTTGCATTCCTTTATTGCACTGAACAGTAACTGATTCAAGTCAAGCATATGGTTTTGAATTTGGGAAAAATGACTAAGAATTTGGAGAGCAACAAGCCTAAGTACTGCCAAATCTGGACTCCCATGCATCAACTGAAGAGCCTCTCGCAAATACTGAACTCCTTCTTCAGTTTTAGAGCTAGCAAGGTAGTTGATGCCTAAATAACACAGACGTTTTCCTTATGGTTCTGACTTGGAAACTAATGGCAGGGCCGTGGATTCCGCCGTTTCCTTCGCTCTACAAAGCAACTGCGTCGTACTTCCCTTTGGTCCCCAACATGCTTCTCCAAACGCCTTTGAAACCAGTAGTTGACTGTAAGACTCGTTTACCTCCAGCCTTTTCGCAGCCTCAATTGCTGAATCGTAAATTATGTTAAAGGTTGATCCCTCTAAGAAATAAAGGTTATCAAGAAATAACTCTCCCTTTGCTAACACCTCAAAAACTGCGCGTGCTGTAATGGGATCAGAAAGAGACTCCAGTAGGCTTTGAACAATGCTGCGCTCATCTTTATAGAATGCCAGAAAGGCCTCCATTGAATGACCAGTGAGATATTGCCCATTAAGCCTCTCAAACAGTGACACGTAAAACGAATGCAAATGGTGCTTTGATTTTAGAAACGTGTCTTTCATTTCATTTAGTCCCTTTTCTCTTGCAAATGTTTGAATCAGCTTGTTCATCGTGAAGAACTCTTCTTGCAAACCTAAATCAAGAAGTGACTTTCTCCGAAAGTTTTGCAACATCTTGTTAGTCTGAAAAGTGTTTTTACCCAAAACGGCAGCGGCAACCTCACTACCGAAATTATCAGGGAGAATACTCAACGACACTAGTGCTTCTTGTTCATGTCCATTCAGTCTTTGGAAAGATGAGGAAAAAAGAAATTTCAGTCTGAGATTGGGAGGATAATCTGGGTTATCTAACATCTCGATAATACTCGCTGAAGCGGAGTGCTGAAGGAATTCATCAAGGAATTGGGTAGGTTGACCCTTATATTCAGAAACCGAGGAGCACAATAATTTAATTGCTAAGGGTACAAAGCCACAGATTTCTGTCATTCGCCGATAGTATAGAGAACTGGCGTTTGAAAGTAATTCCTGAACTAAGGTCTGAGCACGGGTTTCCTCTAATGTTCTTATCCTTACACTCTTGTAGCCTTGAAATTGTACCTTCATAAACTCTAAAGACTCCCTCGTTGTTACTAGCATTGTCAACCTTTCATTGCACCTGAGAATTTTTTCAATGAGTTGTAAAACACCTTCCTTCACTTCTAGGTCACGACTTTTCAACCAATCGTCAGCATTATCAAGAATGAAAAGAGATCGTTCCGAAATTTCGCTTAAGAGCTTACAAAGCTGATTATCAGGGGAAAGACGCGAAAACAAGAGCTGATCATTTATGACAGGTTGCCTGAAACAGCCAAGAATCTCTGAGGACAGAGCTGCTTTTGACCTCAGACCTCGTAAGGACAACCAACAGACCGGCATTCCGTTGTGTTGGAGATCGTGTCCCACCGCAATTGCAACAGATGTTTTTCCAAATCCAGGTGAACCCCAGATCGTCACGAGCTGGGTAGACTCAGACGCCAAGTGAGCCATAATCTCCTTGCATTCGCTTTGACGCCCGGTAAAATTAAGAACCATCTTAGGGAGGGAAGTTGCCAATGGCGATGGTCTCACACCTTTAGACGTAAATAATAAAGAATAACAGTCAAATTTGATTTGCACTTTTTGGTAACAGCGGCGAACACAAAGAAACGATGAAACTTTAACTATTACTTTGACGGTCTTTAAAATTAAAAAAGTGAAAAACAAAAATAAAGACCAACTATAATTATATAAGGATGGAAATTTAATTTAATTTGGAAGTAACTTAAATATGGGAAAGTCCAAACGAAAATCAAGTGCTTATGAAGCGATTTATTCAGTAACCGCTTTATTTGAATTCAGGCAAAGGTACATTTACTTATTTTACTTCAATGCGAACTGACTAACCCTAGTCAATATTAGGATGATGATAATATGTGCCCAGCCTGAATATGAGGCGTTTCTGGAGGAAAGGAAAAGAGAAAAGCGAAAAGGAGGTAGAGCAAAGGGATAGAAACCTACTTTCCTCTTTCTCCCCTCCCCCATCTAAGATCTCCTCTCCCCGAAAACCCTAAGAAAGACCTGATAGGCAGGCTAATGTGTACCCAGCTCTGGTATGCATTAATAAAACAAACCTGTGTGCTGACTACTTTTACCCGTGGATACGCAAAGATTTACTAAGTGAATATTTAAAGACTTCAGCATTATCTCATTTCTTCCTTGCTTCTCCATTTTAAGCTGTTTTTTTTATGGAGAAAAAATCCCCCTCAGAATTTCCTTGGGTTTTTCAAGATATTTTTACGTCAGTATCAATAGCACAATATAAAAGTGGACACTATATTATATATTGTGTATACTAAACGAACCTACCTTTGATAAAATTATCATCGTTTCCTTGATAATGAGGCCATCTTTTGAAGACAACATCATCATTTAAAATCTTGGCAACTAGAGAAGCGGCATTGGCACTTGCAAATTCGCTCCATTTTTCATTTGTGCTCTCTCTGCCATCTGCATAACTAGCAATTCCCTTTACAACGAGCCATTCAACTTGGAGGTCAAATGCAGCTGTGTGAAGTCCTGCAACAGAAACAGCGGCACCACTCATAAATGGGACCATTGAGTATAGCTGAGAAATGAAATAAATGTCAGGATATCAAATCGAAAGGTGCGTTCTCAAAACTTGAAAATTTTTAAAAACCTAGAAGGTTGAACAGATTATCGAAAAGGTGAGCCTCTGTCTAGGTGTTTTCGACAAAATCGAAGTCGCGACGATCGCCTTGGATGAAGCGACGATCTTGGAGGGCGACGATCGCATTGCCATTTCAATCAAGTTTGCTTGCGCGCTAGTTAAATAAATCTCGTGCTCGTTTTTAAACCTGCCCCTAAGGGAATTAAAGAGGACGCGTTGCTAAGGGCGACCGATTTTTTTCTTTTTTTCGCCTTAACACCCCAGCGCCCCCTTCCCCCGCCCCCCTCCGCCCCGCCCGGGATTTCACTACCTTCGGCTTCGGTGTCAACGGCCACTGCCAGGGGAAAGGTTTCAGCCAACTGTTTACGCCGCAATTCTGTCTTGATTACCTCTGGAACGCTCAACAGCTCACCACTGCTATGAATTTTGCCTTTTCGATCTTCCAAGTTCTCTAAAGGAGTTTCCCAGCCAAGAGCTGAATCCTTAATGAGATCAAGAAATCGTTTGCTGGCAAACGTTCTTATATTATTGCGCAGCTCTTTATCGCTTGTCATTACCTTCAATCCATATGTTGTCAATTTGGCAGAAATTACAACATCACCCAATTTGGTTTCCTCAGGACGGAGGCTACTGCACGTTCCCACTAACATAACTCCTTTGGGCATAAGCGCTGAGACAGCATTTTTTGTAGTTACTATGGAGCCTCCCGGACCACTAGAACCTTCATGACATCGCAATAAAGCAACTGCTACTTTCTCTTCTTGGCCTTCATTCTCGTCCTCGAAGTAAACAAAACCTAGACCATCGAACCAACATCTGAATGGATTGTTTAGGTGCATATAACAAGCTAAGAACTCACAGTCCTTTACAGTCAGTAACAAAATGTCGACAGGAAGGCGTGCATGATTCCGATCCTTTGTTGGTGATTGGATATCATTCATGCGGGGAAGTTTAACATTAAGCAGGGGCGGGTCTCTACTGGTATGGCAGTCTTCTTTCTTAGTTCCCCTATTTGCACCATCTGAGATATCTTCTTCTTGTGAGTTGTTACCAAAGTCCTTAGCTAGCGGGTTCGACATTTCGCTCAATTTAGACTTGAGAAGTCAAAATATATGGATCTGGCATATAAAAGGTACATACACTGTCATATGTTTGTCCAGGAAAGGTTTGATTTAAAATAGTTAATGAAATTAAATTAAAATGAAATTAAATTAAAATACCCGACTTGCCAGCGGAAAGTGTAAGTACGGAACTTTATATAGAGTGTTTTTACATGACGTAACGGCGGCCATATTGGTGTTTCAAAACAATGAAACAGCGGCCATGTTGGTGTCCTAAACTAATCCTGTGGGAGTTGGACTCTTTTCTTACGCAAAAACTTTCTTTTGTTCCAATAAATTTGCATAGATAATGGCCACGTGAGTGAAAACACTCTATAGACAGATGTTAGAGATGTCAGATGTCTCTGGGTGGATGTTGTGCAGGTTCGGTTTTACTTTTGGTTCAAATTTTACTTTCCTTAGTTTGAAACTCATTATTACACAAAAAAAGGAAAATAAGACCCCGTCCACACTAGCCTCCCACGCAGGCGTTCTTTTGACTCGTCACGCAATCCTCCTGTGGCTGGCGACGACAAAACAAGCAAACGAGGAACGAAACTTCGAGGGGTGTGTCGCAGCAGGTTAAGTTAGGGACTATTTTACGGGTCGCAAAACAAGAAAACCACGGAAAACCAAAGGTGACGGTTAACGGTGATTTAATTCCATGCTGGTTTTAAATATCTGGTTTCTAACTAACGTTTGACTTTATTGTTATGTTTTTTAGAGATAGTTAAACCGCTTTAGGCGATACTAAGACAAACAACGCGTAATTAACAAACTAAAGCTTGAAAACGGTAATAAAGCGGTTCTATGACGATTAGGTCGATAACAAGACAGTAAAACCTACTTTGAAAAACTAGATAATCTTAAATTAGACAATAATTCCATGAATCTGATCTTAATCCTTGTACTATCAAGCAAAATTGTGGGCGTAACTCTAACAGGCGTTCAAATCCGCTTTTCTCTCTTGAGACAATTACATTAATTGATTTAAGTTTAAAAACTTAAATCTGTATTGTACAGTAACATTCGTGTACCTATGCCCACTACTAAAGAACGAAACTAAATAATATAGCTTACAAAAGCAATCCCTTACATATCGATCCCGCTTGTACCAAAGGTTAAGAACGAACCAAAAAACGATGTCACGACGCGAATCGTAGTTGACTTTTCTGACCAAAAAGACGCTAGCACACGCTTTTATATCCGCGTGGGAACGCCGAAATATCCCATTACAAAACCAGTAGAAAATCAGGTAAATATTGCAATAGCCTGCGTGGCGGGCGTTTGAAAGGGAAGGGAAAGGGAGTTTCTAGCGCGAGAGAAACCGGAGGGGCGCGCGAGGGAGGAGGGCGGGAAACGCCTGCAAGAAGACCATTGTTTTTTTCGTTTTTAACAGGCCAATGTTAAAATCCTGATTGGTCAGTCATCAAAACATGTCAATCACAACCTTAATACCTTAATCCGATTGGTTGAAATCAACATCACGCTCCTCAGTATAAACTTAATCGATCTTTCAGCTGCTTTCAGTAATCATTTAAAAATATGTTGTTAGTGTTAGTGAAGCGTGATGAGATTTCGGTACAAAATTCATCGTTAATTAGAAACTGAAGGCATCAATTTCAGCTTGAAAGGAGAATAGAAGAAAGCAGTTATGAAGGAAAAGACCTGCCACAGATGCGTTTTACGGACTGGCTTTGAGAAGTCTCATCTCTTTACTCACTAGAAGAAAGAAAGAGAATATCATGCTGCCTGTGTGCTTGTTATCTGCCGTTTGACCTTAAACGCCTACCACGCAGGCTATACTTTATCAACGACTAGTCATTGTTGAAGACGAACCGATCTATTATCCTCAGCAAATTTTTGTTTGAGGACTTCTTCTTGCTAGTAGACGTGATAAAGCCACCAGGAACTTACATTAACATGACGCTATGGGAGCGTGCACTTCGGCGTCGAGGTTGTGGAATTAATAGTGAATGCGCGGGCAATTAGTAAGAAATGATATTTTTCCGGCACCCTTCCTTACAAATGCCCTTACTATTCTCCTTTTGAGTAACAGACGTCTTAAACTCTTCACCGCAAGCCTGCTAGGTGCATGACCACGTGGCTCTAACCGAATTCGATTATAATTTGTCTTAAATAAATTGCGCACGACGAGATCACACGTCCACTTTCTTTATTTCCTCTACAACAACACTTTCGTTATGTACCGTTAACTCCACACCTTCTCCAGTAACGTAACTAACATCTCTTGCATCAGTACACTCCCTTATAAAGCTAATATGTGAATATGCACAATCTCCACACCGAGGATAATTCATATAAAACATCGAAACATAAACTAGAAATGCGTATTTCGCAATAACCCTCGCGAAACTCGGTTTTTAGTAGCGCCACTCAAGTTAAGCCCTGTCGGGCGGGGTTAGGAACTGGATGGGTAGCCCACCGCGAATATCGTCGTGAAGGTCCTTAATTTGATCTTTCTTTTCCTCTTCTTCTTTTTTGCCTATTGTGTGGTAGTTATTATATATTGAAAAACATATTTAGCATTATTTCTCCTCCTACGCCCCACGCTTTTCTCTCGCGCCCAAAACCCCCTTCTCCTTCCCTTTCAAACGCCTACCACGCAGGCTAACATTGTGACTACGCTAGAAACTAGGATCTAAGCATGGAAATTACGAAATCAATGAACGGTATTGTTCTTATGTCTTATCCTTTACACCTTCCGTGAGGCAGGAACGCTTGACGAACTCCTAAGAACGTCTGCCTGGGTAGGAGGCTACGTCTACACGAATTGTATTCGAGTCTAAGATATTTGGATTTTTTTACCAACTTTTCAACGATTTTCGATTCAGTTTTTTTCACATTTTATTACCGCGATATTTCGATTATTCTATTAAAAAAGCTTAAGTCTCGTAAAAATTTTGGTAGAAAGGCAAAATATCCCAGAGAATATCTCAACACGGCCAGACCCAACACGAAGGGTAGCTAAGTTTTTTCACGGTAACCATTGTTCGTAACACCATACTAGAAACACCGAAAAAGCAAAGTTTTGAAAGAAAAAAGTCTACATTAATTTATTTTCGTTGGATTTTCCTGTTTTTTTTTCGCAGAACTGCATGAATATTAGCTCTCCTTTAACTACAAATAGCCGCTCTTTGATATAAGAAAAGTAGACTGTAGGCATTTTTTAAAATACTGCTATGGCGATTTTCGTGAAAATCGTTGCATGCAGGTTGCAAAAAAAATATATCGTAATTTTTTGCCTTCGCCAAAATCCTCCCTTTTCTCTCTTATTGTGGCGCTTTTGAGGAGCATTCATGCTTGAGTGGCCCGCCCCTGAAGCTCATTATCATGCGTAAGGCTTGATTTAGTGGTCGGGTAATTTTTACGTGCGTACGTGCGTAAAATTTATGTTCGCAAATAATTAAAATAGTGGCAATATATGAAAGGTCGCACGTAAACGTAAAAGTAGAACCTCGCTCAACTTCACGTTTAAACTCAGCATTTTATGTCTTGCCCCTATTTTACGATTCACGTGATTAAGATTTAAGTGCGTTAACCTGCGTGGCCAAAAACGCGTCAGTGGAAATCAATCTTGAATGACCGGACGTTCTGCGCGATGTAAAACTTTCGAGTCCTAAGACATCCGAGAAAATTAATAGTTTTTAGGGCATCAAGTTAACCAAACAGGCTTCTAAAGCGTGTATAGAGAAAACTATTCGAAGCACTTCCGACATATTTGGAAACATTCGGTCTTTGGGGCCCCTGTTTTTCACTTTTCCCATTTGAACCCTATAAATCCTTACGTCATGCAATATTGCTGCATGCATAAAAGTTTTTAACCACCGCTCTCACATAGTGAGTTTGGGAAGGCTGTGACTAAAATCTTAAAACTAGTATGACCTACCTTCAAGGCATTTGGTGAAAATTAAAACCACGATATCAATGAGCTGATCCCACGGTCTCTAGATTTTCGTTTTTGTCGAGGAAAATGAATTATGCTCGATTACTGCTTTTGGTTCTATGCCACCCCACAGGAACTTGAAAATTCCACAGCTACGAGGTCCTAAACAAATACAAACAGTCGATTGTTCATATCATTGGTGCACCATTGATCTAAGTATATATAGCGGCATGTTATTTAAGAGTACAGTGGAACCCGGTTAATACGACACCAGCGCGGGACATGCCAAAGTGTCCATATTAAGGCAAGCTCACAGAAATAACGTCATGGATACATGTTTTAGCGATATAAAGACTAAAGCAGGCAAAGACGACGCAGTTGTCAATTTTTGTACTGAACTGAACTGCAAAACAGCAGTGAAAATACGTAGGAGTTGGATGTAAACGCGCTCACTTTACAAAATTGGTGAAAGAAGTGTTGCTTCACTGTCTCGGGTTGATATTTTTATACTGAATAAACTTGTTGTTGGTTTCAGGTGCACAAATGGATAATGGGTTTCATATAGGGAATCGGTAACCGGTAACCAATTTCCAATTAGTTACACCATCCCTAACTCGAATCCTCAAATCAAAATCCTAACTCAGCAATCGTCTCAGAGAATTAAAGCGTCCGTTCAAACAACAGGTTTTCCATGAATTCAATGTTCAAGGCACATCATTTTCTCGTTGGAAATCGCTTTTGTTTCATGTAGTATTTATTCTCCTAGCCTCTTTCCCTTTTTTCAAAAGCGGAAACACTGAATTGTTTAGGTCCAAAAGATATGTTAAATTGCGTCGAGAATATTTATATAGTCAACACAAAATATGAAGGTCATGCAGCCACAACCTGGCTAAAACTTGGTTAGTTTTTGCTTATATCAAGTACCAGAAAAATAACTGTTTCGCATGAGCCATCAACAAATTTTTTACGAAGCCTGTCGCATGTTCTTACCATTACTGATTTCCTAGTTTTTTCACCCGCCGAAAAAATAGCGGGTGAAACAAGAGCCGAAAAAAGCGTCTGCTTCCCGCAG